AGAACCAACACTTCGAGACCTGATAGTGATAGTAAAGTTGACTGCGCAAGTGCCTTGTACACCAGAAGTTTACTGCGTGTGTTAGCCCCTGATCGGAACCAAAAAGACCCCATCCGAGCCCAAGCAACCTTTGCTGCTTGAATGCGTAGCGCAACTTCTTCATGTGTCCTCCCAGCATAATGAGCACGTCCCCCCAAATACCTGGCCGATTGTACCGTAGATCCTGGCAAGTATGAGTCCTGATAAACAGTGTGGTAGTGCTGCTGAGAGTGTTTTCCCCCGAAGAATACCACATGCTCCTGCTTGCCAATGTTTTGTACCAACTGTCTGTCCAGACTGGCATTGGCGACTTGCAAAGTCTGCTGCAAGGCCTCCGGATTATGTCCCAATGAAACCCTACTGACATCATCCGCATACGACGACATCGCCAGATCTTGCTCGAGTGTTCCATAGATAACTTCACACGTCGCATATAGGGTTTTACTCTCACTAAAGACACCCAAATCATTTGCCCACTTGTCCAGCTGTGGATGATATGGTTCCCAAAATAATTGCGCTGAGGGGCCATCCCCCTGCAATGTGCCACTACCCGGTCTGAAATCCGCTTCACCACAACCGTCAGACACCCGCACCAAAGCTTCCGAATGGCGTTGTTCCAACAACCTCCTGTTCCGAGGCCTCGCAATGTTGTCAAGTGCTTCCGAAATCGCTGCCCTAGATTGCGATGGAAAAGCATTCTGAACATCATAAAAAGATCGTGCATGCGATATGCGCTTGTCGCGCAGTCGAGCGCATATTATGTGTTGCTGACAAATGGGTTCCAAACGAGACTTCTGTGAATAATAGCCCGCCGCATAATGTCTGAAGCTTGAGGTGCGCATTGCTGCCAGAAATGCCTGAAGAAAAAGCATTCCCGCATGGATCCAAACAGTTGACCAATCGAATCCCATCACAACCTTGCGTTTGTCCAATTGAAACGACATGCTGTGTTGCCATTTTGCTGGTGTTTGCTCCCAACGCCGAATGGATAACACGAGCACCCACATCCAGGACTTGAAACTAGGAGCGCGCTTCGCAAATGGAACATAGCCCACCCCCGTTTTTGAGCTTACTCCTGTGGTAGGTCGGGTGAAACAGTTGCCTCCAGACCTCTGCTGGTGCGGACCATGGTGGGACTGCTCTGCGCAACTTCGCCCGATGTACCTGTGAAATAAGTGCGCGAAAATCCTCCGCCGCAACCCCTGCAACGGCTTCAGCAGAGTGAAGTGGTTCTGTCGAAATCCTAGTGGGGACTTCTGACATTCTCTCTGCTTCCCAGCCCCCGTCACAACCCCGTGTCGCCAGGTGTCGCTCCCAATCATCGACCGAAGGTCGTTGTGATACGGGTCGGTTGAAAACTCTTCTTTTGGGCCCAACCTGTTTGTTTGAAAGCTCCCGCGCAAGCCTCCACATTCTGTCTGCCCCAAGCCGAGTTGAATTCATCAAGCTGTGTTTGTAGTCGATTGTGTCGATCTCTCTTCGCAAGTAGATCCAGCTGTTTCCGAGCCCGCCAGTACCTGATAAGTGCCTGCCATTGTGCGAATATGGCTGATACGAAATCTCTTGACATGGAATCTGTGTGCACGTATGCCAGGCGTTCTGGTTGTGGCAACGAGACCAGGTGACACCATGTCTGCGTGTGCTTGACGTGTATCTGCTGGGTCGTCGATGTGTTTGCGCTGTACAGTATAACACGACTTTGCCGCATGTAACACCGCTGCATTGATCACTCCCCAGATTGCATCAGGAGACTGGCTAGCAGGCATAACTAGATACATCGACTTTCCCCAATTCTTTTTCACACTCTGCCAACAACGGCTCTCGTTTGACCCCTGCAAAACACCTCGCGCCAAAGCATCTCTATCCCATACCGAGGCTGAATCACGAATTTCAATCAATAGTCTGTGCCTGAAAACACACTGAACCGGCATATGATCACGCTTGCCAGCTGCTGGAATGAGCTGCAACCGTTTGCCCTGCGCATATAAGACGTTGCACCTTTGCACTGCTTGTAACATGGATTGCGGAATGCATACATAATCAATCCGACTGTTACGACCGAAGTTGCCAAAATATGTGTCACCAGCGGGAAAGAAAGTGTTTGTTGCGACCATGTGATGTTCAGTAAGCAATTCTCGCAGCTGCTCGCCATTGAAATTCTCAGCAACCGCATCAAAAGTGCCAACACTGGGAACCCTCGGACCACGGCCAAAACGAGCGTTCGCATCTGTGCATAATACGGGCACACACCGAGCCGGAGCAAGAGATAAGATATGCCCGACCCATGTCCACAGCCTGATGATGTACTGCTTGTCCTTCTGAAGATGCGGATTAACAGGAGCATACACGTTGACAACAAGAAAATCCGCATCACCACGCTTAAGTCGTATGGCCCCCGCACGGCCAATGAATTCTTCGGGTGGTGTAAAAACTCGCACCATGTGTTTGAACGAGAAAAGTTTGTTGCGCACTGCAACAACCAATCCCGCTGATTTGCCACTGTGTGTGGAACAGCCCCACTCAATGATGTTGAAGCCCGGGATCGTGTACTGAACGACTTGCTCGTTTGTGCGCCTTTGGGTTCCCTGAATGCACACAACAGAGTTCCAACGTAGTTCAGACAATATGTGCCGTAGTCTTCGTGTCTGCACGAGCGATAATGCATTGTATGAAACAGCACGCCACTGTGGTAGGCAATCCATACGAGTCCTGATCGATGGAAATCATATGTGGACCCTAACTACGCACTCTTGGAACATTGCTACCACGCCGCATCGGCTAGTGCTCGAGAAAAGCGGCAACAAGGTTAATACAATCACATACATCAGCTAGACTGGCCCCCTGGCCCCTGACAGTAAGGATATTGCCGTCCCCCCCAAGATGGACCTCACTCGCAAGCTTAATATTGCCCATAAGCTGTTCCTTGTGCCGGATACTTCCTTCAACTGCAACCCACATGATGGCCATTGGCCTCATCAACAAGTTAGTGCATCCAGATGTAGCTGTGGGTTCCCATTCAAGTCTCCGAAGTTAAAAGCCACGGCATCCCCATTTCTAGCAACAGTTAATATTAGTACATGTATATAAGCTAAACACTGCACAATCATTTGCACCAACAGTTGCCGTCATATTCATGCGAATATTAAACTACACGAAACGGATTCCATTAAGAACCGCGATCCTTGCTGTCTTCGCTCTGGTGTTCCCCAAAGGGCGGCCCTTCGATTTTTAGGGGTAATACCAGCATTTGTTTGTTTAGGTCAACATATAGTACATGGCGCCCCCTTTCTCATTGTGAGACTTGCTGTCGGACTTGCCCGTATGCGGTATGTACATTTACGTGTCTATATATTCACATAAATGTAAAGAATCAGGTTAAATCTGTACTAGGTACCAACGTAGTGACGAAGATCATTAGCTGACTCCTGCTTCCAAACAGCATCAACCCTGACCATATCCGTGTCATTCGCTGTTATGTCAATGCTGACCGTAATATTCGCCTTGACAGCAGCCCTAAGGCCATCCACAGTAGGCTTAGTACCACCCAGAATCTGACCCCGATATTTAACATTTAATTTACAACTTCAGTCAGCTAGAAGACATCAAGCGGTAGCTGTGATAACCAGCTCCCTATCGACCCCAAATTGACCCGAATATTGTACTGTGTTTTATCGCTCTTTGTACGTATGACTACGGACATTTCGTTGCATTGGCTCAAGACAAAAAGTGTGTACGATTTGGTGCTTTCGTGCACTAACTATAGGTTATCAGCCGTAGCCAAGCCGAGCCATAGCTTCCAGGGTGCTCCTGAAATCCTGCAGGTTACACCGAAATGGGGGACACCACTGAACCCGTGCCAACAGGTATCTCAGATATTACTTTGGCAACGGAAGGTGCAGGTGAACAAGAGTTTCCTCCATTAATGCCAACAGGTGGAAGTCATTTGCCGAGTGATGGACTGGCAATTGTTCAACATGATGCAGCGTACTCACCGATTGATTCGTTGCTTAGAGAACGTGTTCCTGCCACGCCAGGTTCTATTACACCTGTTACTCCGGTAGGAATACCTGGACCATTGGCTCATGCTACGGGCTTGCCCAGCCCTATTACACTGATTTATTCGCCTCAACTTCATCAAGCAAGCCTTACCCAGAACCTACAGGTTGTCGATGCCAGGCAAGTGGTGGTTAATCTCCGATGGTCGCCTTTGCCTCCGAGGCACGACACAATCAGATTATCGGCGAATTGGGAGCAGAACATCAGGAGCAGCTCCGTGCAATGTGCAACAGTGGGCTTGCAGAAGTAACCAAGTTGAGGAATGAATTGGGCAATGCTAACATTGCGTTGTCGATTCAGAGATCTGAAATGGGTCAAGGTGAAGCTCGTTTCCAGCAAACCGAAAGCGCGAGGGAACTCGCTGTCCTTGAAGCCAACAGGCAAGCTGAAGCTGCCCGTAGAGCTGTAGAGGAAGCTAACAACAACGCCAGGCGCCTTCGCGAAGTGGAAACTTCTGCCCGTCAGAATGATGCAATGCGATCACATGAGGTCGCTGACATGTCAGCTCGAATGGATGAACTGATGAGGCAGCTTCAGGCCCAGCGTCAGCAGACCGAGGTACTGATTCAGCAAAATAGTGCTCTGAGCTCCAGGGTTCGTGATTTCGAGGCTAGAGATGATTCAAGAGGGAATTCCTCAAGGGCCTCCACCCGGTATTCCTGTACACCACATGTCCACTCCGAAGCACGGAGGTGACACTCCGACAGAACAGGCTACGGACGCCGGAAGGCGAACCCCTCCGGAAGGTTCTAGCCCTGGTGGCAGTGGTGGCGGACCCGATGGTAAACGGCCCCAGTGGCGGTGATGATGACCATGATCGTCACGATCGGAAGTCCAAGAAGGATAAGAAGCATAAGAAGAAGAAGAAGAAGAAGAAGAAGTCGCGCAGGCGACGTAGGCGTGATCCTTCGTCTTCCCCATCTAGTTCTAGCAGTAGCTCTGGTGATTCGAGCTCTTCCTCATCCCGCATTGATAAGAAATCGTGGTGAAAAGCCTGATAAAGAGGACAAGCCCAAGGTGAAAGAGGCTGAGAAGATTACCTTCCCGCAGCCAGAGAGCTATAGGAATTGGAGGCTAAGGGTCCGTGAAGCGGTCGTTGCCGCATCCGATCGCCCTGATGACGCCTTTTCGTGGCTCTCCAAGGTTTGGGAGAAAGACGTTAAGGAGGATGATCTTCGCGACCCGGAAGGGTTCGTCACCTTGGATGCTAAGGTTCTATCGGCGGTCACTAACATCCTGGAAGGAGCCTTTGCCAGACAGGTCGATACCTTCAAGGAGCGAGAGGCAAATGCCGGGAGGCTTGTTCGGGGTCGACAAGTGCTTTTCAAGTTGGACAACTTCTTTTCTACCAACGCACAGGATGGTTCAGTCTACGAGTTCGAAGATCTCTTGTCAGTTAAGATGGTCAATGAGAAGCTTGAGACGTTCATGCATAACTGGGAAACTGTATTGTCAGGGATCCAGACTACCCCCGATGAGAACTTCCTTGAGCCCTTGTTCCATAGGCAGATCAAGCGCTTTAAAGATCTCGCACATGACATCAACATCTACGAAAGGGCTACACCAGGGCAGCCAGAGAAGACCTACATGTTTTTGTATGATGCGGCTGCGAACTACTTGAGTCGCAAGCGTCTTGAACGCAACCGGGAACGGATTGCCAAGCAATATGGTGCCGATGGGAAACCATCTGCCCCCGCTCCCAAGAAGAAGTTTGTCCCTAAGGGATTTTGTTTTGACTTCGTCCAGAACGGTAAGTGCAGCAAAGGAGATAAGTGCAAGTATAAGCGTGACATCCCTGAGAAGAGAGGCCGGTCGCATTCAAGAGGTGGAGGCCGCACTCGCTCGCCATCCGGCAACAACAATGACGGAAAGCCCAGAGAATGCAAGTTCTGGAAGAGCGGGCGGTGCAAGAAAGGAAGTGCATGCACATTCCTCCATACAGGCAAGCCAAGCGCTGCTGCGACGTCACAAGGCGGCTCTCAGGGGGGAAGACCAGGAAGCGCAGGCAGCAAAGGGAAAGGCAATAAAGGCCATCGTAAGTCGCGGTCCAACTCGAAGGGTTCTCAAGGGTCGAAGAACTCTAAGGGCAGCAAGGGTTCGGACAAGCGAAAGGGTTCTAAGCCACCGAAAGTTCCTCCGATAGTCGTGGTGACATGTCATCTACCTTTTCGTGTGCCTTGCCAGCTATTCGTTTCGACGACAATCCGATGCTCATCAACATCCCACCTGACGGAAAGATGTTGCCTACAGAACCCGAGCCACGGAGGTACTTGAAGTCCTTCGGTGGGGAACCTCCTAGACCTAGTCATCAGGACATTAAAGATGCACTGACGACCGCCAAGATGCTTAAGGCAACTCTGGATGCATACGGTTCCGGTACAAGGGCTGAATGCGGTTATGAATGTGACACAGAGTTTGGTTGCGACAAGTGCATTCCAAAACACCTTGAAGCTACCTGTGTTGCAGCTACCAAAGCGGAAGCCCAGCAGCTCGACATCGAGTGGATTGCAGATACCGGCAGCGCCCAGGACTTGGTGTCTCAGGGGGATCTCGGATCATTGAGAAGCCATCGTTCCCAAAACCCAATCGGCATTGTGACGGCTAATGGGCCCAGCACTGCTGAGATCCAGTCTAACATCGCAGTTCCTTCATTAGGCATTGACAGCCATCCATATGTGTTGCCTAGCACACCTTCTGTTCTGTCCGTGGGTTACAGATGCATGGAGGAAGGGTTCGATTTCGTTTGGAGATCGGGTACAAGACCCCACTTTCAATCGTCTAGCGGTGAGCGGATATACATGGATGTGAAGGATTAGATCCCCCTACCTCAAATCGTGGAAGGAAGGTGTGGCAGTACCTGCGAGGCGGAAGCCCCTGCCTAAGGATGATCACAAGACTGATCTGGTTCTTTCGCTTGAAGAGGCTGAGGGGTATGCAAGGGAACTTCGGATCAACGGCGACTTTCGTCTGGGATCATGTTACAAACTTTTGAAATTGACTCCGTTCAAGCCAACAGGGAATTCGAGGAGAATGAAAGCTACTGAGAATGACGACTCTGTTGAAGATGAAGTTGGCAGGGACTACATAATCATTGGTGTTTGGATTTTCAGCGGGATGACTGGGGTCACAAAGTCTGTTGATCGTCATGCTCAGCTGATCAAGTACCTGATTGCCTTCATGAAGTCAAGAGGGTTGAAAGACACCTTCACGTCTATCTGCATCAATCACGGTGGCAATCGCCGAGTGCACCGAGATTTGTTGAATCATGACAACTCACTTAACCACACTTTACGTGTTGGGAGCTATCAAGGTGGTTCCGTATGGGTTGAGCAGAAGGACGATTTTCCCGTGTTTCGCAGTGGGAAGTCAAAGTGCGTCAAGGTTACGGGGGGACTTGAAGTCAATGGGAGAGTCTATGACACTCATGATCGAATGTTATCCTTCCACCCCAAGCTTTGGCATCAGGCACAGTCTTGGACAGGTGATCGATGGACCATCACTGCATATACGAATATACGATTCGGGATACAGATGGTTTGAGCTGGGAACATTCAAAGTCGCTGATGTCGCTCGGGTTTCAGTTGAATTCGTCAAGACGGTTACCATTTGTTCCATCATTGATTACCGGCGACAGCGATGAAGAGCTCACCTTGTATGACTTCGCAAAGAAGAAGAAGGCCGAAGCTGAGAAAGCTAAGGTTCCTGAACCAGCTCCTCCGTTGATGAAGAGTAAGGCTAAGTCTAAACCCATTAAGCCTGATGCCGGGCGGAAGCCTGAGCCCGTGCCTGATAAGGGTGCTGACATGTCTGATCTTTTTGATATGGAGGACCATTTTGATGAAGCCGGGGAGTTGAAAATTGCGGAGGATCAGCCACCTCCTCCTCCTGTTCCCGCTGAGGCAAGCAAGCTTTCGAAAGGAGAGAAGGTTCTACGCGAAGAAGCTAAGAGTAAACATCATCTGATGACTCACGTCCCAAAGAACCCCTTTTGCCCTACGTGCCAGAGAGCAAAGATGTTCAAGCCGCCTTCGTACCAAACGAATGGTTCCAGATTCATTGAGGCTGAGAATTTCGGCGACCATCTTACTGGGGATCATCTCATTGTCTATCGGGACAACGAGGAAGAGATTGGGGATTCGCGATTAGCTTTGGTCATGAAGGATGTGGCAACAGGTTTCCTCGCAGCATACCCCTCCGGACGGAAGTCCCAGGACGAGTGCTACAAGGCGCTCAACCATTTTGTTGCTAACAATGAAGACGTTGGCATCTTCTACAGTGACAATGCTCCTGAGATTAACGGGGCAGTAGCAGAAATGGGTTGGAAGCATGAGCATTCTAAGGCCCTACGTCCATCAGTCTGATGCCATGGCTGAGCGTGCAATCAGGACTGTGACGGAAGGCACCAGAGCAAATCTGGAGCAAGCTGGCCTGGCTCATGTCTACTGGCCTCATGCTTTACAACATGCTTGTGTTGCTCATAACGTAAGTCATCCCAACGGTACGAAGTACTCTTCATGGACTTTGCGGTTCGGCAAGGACTTCCATGGGCCATTGATTCCGTTTGGATGCCGAGTAGACTACTGGACTTCTACGAATACCACAAGCCCATTAAGGTACACCAGTTGAAAGTGCCCGATGGTGAGTTCACTTTCCCCATGATCGACCGTTATAACCGTGTCCGAGATGGGCTATAGCGCACGATGCAGTTGAGAAGCCTGTCGTTGAATCTCTGAGAAATCAGGATGCGGAAGCAGTCGTAGAGCCTCCTGGGGACGGTGAGGCTAAAGTAGAAGTACCTAAAGTCATTGATCCCAAATCAGGTGACCTCGTTGAATTGCCCGAAGGCGACCGCTACTATGACTCCGGTGGAACTCTTGGTAGAAGATACGGAGGGTCTAGGGGTTCAAAGAAGCCGGACAGCATTCCTTCTCACATATGAGTCAACTTGTCCGAAAGGCAGAAAGATAAGGCGATAGCGGAGGAAGCAGCGAAGATCGCTAGGGAACATCATGAAGGCGCCGATCGAGCAGGTGGTGGATCATCGAGTTCAAGGGCCTGCTGCAACGCTTGGAGCCTCCCGATCGGTGGGAAGTCAAAGGTAACAAGTTAATACGGTACCATTGTGTCCCTAGACGAGAACTGTTTTCTCCTGACATCACCGATTGTCCCGTTCCTACATCCAGGGTTAAGCCTACCAGGATCTTGCTTGCAGATCATCCCTGTGGGAACAGAGGACACTGTCGCAGATGAAGATGATTGGACAAACCCGCGTAGAAGGAATAAGAAATTGCCTTTTAGATGGACCGGCAAAACCATCTTTGAGATCCTACCATTGGGTGCTAGCAGTGCTCATATCGTGGGGGAACCCTTCCCGACTATGCCAACTATCCCATGTAGTGGCGAGCATCGTGAAAAGATTGGTCAAGATCGTCAGTTTACACAATCTGAGCTGGAAGTCATCATGGCACTAGTAGCTCGTCCAGTTGGCAAGAAGGAGCTCGCGGAGAACAGTGATGCCCAGAAATCACTTGATGTGGAATGGGCTAAGCTTATGCAAAAGCGAGCCTGGGACATGGATAACCCACGGGAGTGGTCAGAGATCTCGGCGGAAGCCGTCAGACGGGGTCGCAAGGCTCATGTTGGACGTGTTTTCGAAATCTGTGTAGAAAAGGGAAGCGAACTCCCTAAAGGAAATCCCCTGAGGAAATTCAAAGGCCGGACGGTCTTTCAGGGTAACAATGTCCAGGACGAAAGCAGCAATGCCGCCTTGTTCTCAGAGCTAGGATCAAGTCCTGCTTCGATGGAGGCTGGCAAGGTGCTGGATGCGTATGGATCTCAGCCGGGTTTCGCCTGTGAACAGGCCGACGGTAAGCAAGCTTACACTCAGACGACATTAAAAGGTGCCGAAACTTGGGTTCGATTGCCAAGGGAGCGGTGGCCTAAGTCCTGGGTTGGTAAGTTCAAAGATCCAGTTGTTCGGCTTTACCTC